TCTTACAAATGTAAAGCAATTGTTGACAACTTAAGCAAAAGAAAAGAAAAACAGAATGAGCTTTTTTCCCCTGCTATTTCCAATTTGGGTAAAATACATCTTGAACAGTATTTATTCATCTCTGTAAGCGTACTCCAATGGATCTGTTTTATTTCAGTCATTATAAAAAAAACCAACAAAACAAAACAACAAACAACCTCTGACTTAAGTGAAATTTGAAAGATTCATGAAGTAATAGGTTCTGTAACAGAATAGATTTTTAATGGCCAGATGACTTTAATGTAGCTGTAACAGAGATATGCAACCTATCTGTTGGGCCTCTCATGCTTTTGTCACTGGAAAAAATAGAGGTACAAAACATTGAAAGTAAATATGACTGGTTCATTACTGTTGTTTTTGTGCTAGGGAATTAGACATGTGGATCACTTTGGGTTCATCTGCAGAGAGTCTTCAGAAAATGGAGGCTTCCACTTTGTTTGCTACGTGTTTCAGTGTACAGATGAAGCACTGGTAAGTGAAAGAAAAGAAAAGCCTAATAGAATATTAGGCCCTGAAAGTCTTCTGTTGCTCCATGCTCTATAGTTTGCTGAATGTCTTCAAATCCTGCTCCACTCAGAAATATGATTTAAAAATGTAACTAACATAGCAGTCTGCAAAGGAACTTTTAATTTCTTTTGAAGGCAGAAGTTAAAATCCCCTTTAAAATCCAATAAAACTTCCTTTCATTGCACAGGCTAAGTTAGACCGTATGCCTCTTTTTTGGAAGAGGGTTTTTTCATAGTGTACCTGTTCAGAAAATCAGGACTATACTTTTGTGCTCTAGGTCAGGCCAGTACGTCACAACTTCAGTAAGCTTTTTTATCACAGACAAGAAAAGGTTTCTAGATAGAGGCAGTATCTTTTATTAGACCACAGTAATAAAATTAGGTGGCCTGGAAGAGCTATGTCTTCACGATGAGTTTTGTCTTGCTTGTGTGTTTGTGTGCACAAATGGCATGAGAACAGCTTTTCTCTTTAATCATAAACGCATTCCGAAACAAGCAGTATCATTGTAAAAGACTGTTGTGTGTGTGTTTAAGGAAAACAGAAACTCAGTGGAGGAGTGAAATTCTGTTCTTTTTCACTCTATTCTTTTCAGGTTGATGAAATCATGATGACATTGAAACAGGCTTTCACCGTAGCTGCTGTGCAACAAACTTCCAAGGCACAGTCCCAGCTCTGTGAAGGATGTCCTATGCAAAGCTTGCATAAACTATGTGAAAAGATAGAAGGTGAGGTTTGAAGAACCTTCTGGTCGAATATTTTTGTTAACAATTTTATTGGGGGACAATCTTACATGTGAAACTCTAAGGGAATGAATACTTAAGAAGAGCTTCGGACTTGGGATGAAGGGTTGAAGGCCAGTCTTTTTATTTAGAGGACTGCAATGTCAAGTTAAGCTTCTTTCTTGTATTTTAGTTGAATTTTTGAAAACTAATTAAGAGTCTAAACATAACTGAATTGCAGCTAGCTTGGCTCTATTAGCCATATAAACACAGAGGATTGTAGATAAGGAACTTCTCAAGAATATATGCTGCAATAGCTATGACCTGCTGCCCTACTAAACGTGAACTGAACAGTATGCTTTTAATATGCATGTTTGTGGTGTTGATCTATGCTCCTTCAAGAAAATGTAGCAGTTAGAATTGTAGTTGTTGCCCAGAAAACAAGTTCAAGACAAAAAAAAAACCCCTCTTTGCATTTCAGCAAATTTCACAGTTAGGATTTGTTCATTTAAGTGATGTCTGGGGTGAATAAAGGGCAACAGCAGCTTGTCAGATCACATGACAGTAGCTTGTGGGACTAAAACCTATCTAGTATTAATTTGATGAAACTGGAGAACTTCCAAAACTACTTTTCACTCTATTTTGGTCTTCAGCTAGCTATGATTTTTGAGAAATTTCTTGAAGGCAAATGATTCCTAATGCCTTTAATCATGCCATCTGGTTAATCGTATCATCTGCTTCTGAAGGAGAAATGCCATGATCAGAAACTACTGTTTCTTTTGAGGGTTTGTTTTTTCCACAGAAAATAGAGGAAAGGAATTTAATCCAGGATGAGAGCAGAAAAAAATAATCTGAGATGGTAGTCTGCTTTAGACTGTCAGTAAATGTTTTCAACAAGAGGCAAAGCAAGAACTTCACTAACATGCAATAAATTTACTCTTTTTCAGAAAAGACCAAGGCATACAAATTGGAGAAAATCAGTGGAAATTATATTTATACCACAGGCAAAATCCAAGCAGTACTGCATAAAACACAAACAAAGCAGTTTGCTAAAATGCAGTAGATCGTGGGTTTATTTTATCTTGTGTGATAATGGAATCTTCAGCTAAGAGTATATATAATCCTGGCCTGTGCTCAGTAAATCTCCTTGTTGCAGAGTTCGTGTCCCTCATTTTAAAGACATGAGTTCAGCAGTAGCTTTAAATTAACCTAGAGTTCTTTCCAATGGCCTGTTATGAAATCAGTGCAATGGGTCAGCTCAAATAACTGATCAGCTTTGGCTTAAATTGTGTGCATATTTTTGTGATCGATTAATTCTGACAAATTTGACCCTGTGATTTGTTCTTTTTTGTTCCTCTTGGTAGGGTTACACCCTTCTAAGACTAAACTAGAACTACAAAAGCATCTAACAACACTAAATAACCAGGAGCAGGCCTCTGTTTTTGAAGAGGTTAAGGTAAGCTCTTTGTTTCCTTCAGGATTTTAAAGCAATGGATGTTTTTTCCTAACATCAGTGTGAAGCACCGAAGTTATTTTCATTTTTTTGCGAATTATTATCTTTATTTAATAGACTGTTTATCACCTTGTGCTTTAATTTCAATATAATCATTTTTCTAGAGCTGTTAAAAACTTGTCTTATGATGAAAATGGCTTATTTGACTAATTTTTCTTCCCTTAATACTAGTTGTTTTCCATGAAAATGTTGACTTCTCACTGACTAAAACAGCACACATTTTTCTATGGGTGAAGGCAGTAACTTGTACTGTGAGAATACTCAACTGTTACTTTGACCAAAACAAATTACTGTAACGTTCCCAGATCAGAGAAGTTCCTGCCTAAAATTTATCCTAGATCTTAATACTTGTTAAACTAACTAAAAATGTTTAACTTTCTATCTTCTGAATGAAATCCATTTAAGCACAGAGGAAAGCATAGCTGGATTTAAGACAGATGATGAACATTGAAGGAAACGTCATTGGGCTTGGCACACTGTTGAAGATAAGGAAATTTCAGACTTTTATAAAAATAATACTTACTTCCTCTCTTGAGTCATTTCAGTCTCTTGGTGTGTTTCCATGTGGCAGTTTATCATCCAGTACCAAATTTGGAAATTACTCTGTGGGAGCAATTCCACGAGCTAAGTAATTGCTTAGTATACAGCAGCTAGCTGGCACTGTTGCCTTTTAGTATTCTGCACTCATTTTAATGGTCTAAAGCTTCTAGTAGTCACAGGAAACTCATAATTGCTTCTGGTGAGCGTCTGCAAACGATTAACTTTATAAAACCAAGGGTAAAGTACATCTCTCCTGCCTATCTTTCAGCTGATTTTTTTGAGTTGAACTGCCTAAAATTTTAGTTGTTGCATTCTTACAGCTCCATATGTTGTAACTGTGATTTGCATTTTTAGATAACTGTCTTTCTAAGGATATTTTTATTGATCTGATGTGCTACCCTGGCATTAGCTAATTCGTACTGTATCCTCTGCATTACATCAATAGGCTTAAAACAGCATATGCTTTTCAAAAGTTAGGTTTCTGGGATTAAATTCTATGATAGTTTTAAAAACATTTTCTCGTACAATAATTCAGATCTAAATAGAATGCAGCAGAGAGAAATGTGTTCACCTTGTGCACTAATTTTTAAGATACCTATGTCATTTCTGATTCTCATTGGGAATGCCCAATGAGAAGGATTTCTAGGCGAGAGGTTGTGCATCATAACTGCAAGACAATACTTCACGTGTGCTACAAACTCAGAACGACAGTGTTTTGGTTTTCTTTACATCAAAAGCAAATTGGCAAAAATATTTTTTAAAGTCTTTATTTGCTTGTGGCAATTTGATACCTCTACAGTTGTCCTTTATCTTTGATCTAAATTCTGTCGTGTATGAAGTGAGGTCAAGTGTTTCTCTGGCTGTGTTGCTGCTTTACCTGGGACACTAGTGTCCTCTGGTGGACTGGAGTAGTAGCATTAACCAAGTTGAACTTGTTCTTACACTAAGGATGTATTGACAATGACAAAGTGAAAAGAGTAAATGTTTGCTAACTGTAATACAAATGTATAATTACTGTGCTTGTGGTGTTTTCAATTAAAGAAATTAAGACCAAGAAATGATCAAAAAGAGAATGAGTTGGTTATCTCTGTTCTGAGAAACATGTATGAAGAAAAACAGAAGGACCATGTTCATGTTGGGGAAGCAAAACAGGTAAGTAATCATTCAATTTTAGTTCATGTAAGGAGGAGCCAGGAAAAAAGTCTTCCATTCCATTTTTATACCTTTCCAAAGGCAAATTTCCATCACTGGCGTTTTGGAACTTCAGACTGCAGGCAGTGGTGAACACTGGTTTTGCTTGTGATTCATAGGCTATTGTCATGTGCCAGAACAGGCATATCTCAGATTTTGAGGTACCCGGTACAGTCTGATTTCAGGCTTTGGAGAAAGAGATGCAAATAAGGTAGACCACTAATTTGGTTATTTCTTTCTTCTCACTGCAATGAAAATGCAATGTATGTGAGAGAATATATAATGAATTTGTAATTGCTCTCAGCCCATCTGTGGCATTTGCTATCCCGCTGTCTCTGTGAGTCAGTGTCCTGACAACACATTGGATTTGATCCTTGATAAAGACTATTACATTTACTCAACAGCTGGAACTTATTTCTTATGTGCAAACCACCATTTGAAGTGGCCTCAAGGAGCAGATGAGGAGGATTGCTGCAGAAACAGCAGCAGAGACTGTCGTCCATTTCCAAAGAGCTGAGCTACTTTTCATTCTTTATCAGGTTGCATCAGTGCTGTTTAACTGGCTGTTTATACAGCACAGTTAAGGTTTTTCAAAAGGGATTAATGATTTTGGTTGCCTTGGTTTGTGACTAAGTAACTTAAGACACCTCAAGGAGGTCTGTATTCAAAAGAGGAAGGATCAGCACCCATTCTCCGGAAACCTTCAGTTCCAATTATTTGACCCTTTTAAAAATCCTGGCTGTCCCACCCATCATGATGACTACTGTTGGCTGTTTGTGATATAAACTAGCAAATTAATATATGGAGACTAATTAGATCCCTGAAGAAATTGGGGAAGTAGCAGCAAGTCTTCATTTACTATTTGTTCACTTTGTTAATCTTTTCTCCTTTTATGGCTTACTGGCTAATTATTGACCTCCCTGAGAAAGCAGGAAGAGAACTTTGCATATTTCATGCTCTGATTTCTTGTCTTGGGCATCTCACCAGAAATATGTTTTTAAGAAAAAAGCACTGTAGTTATGGCATGACAGGAAGAAACATTGCCTGAGGTTCTCTATCATCATACCTGAAATATTTTTATTTGGTTTAATGCCAGCTGATTATCAAATAGTTATCAGTCACAAATGGCTTGGAAATAGGGATATACAAAGCAAGATAGTATCTTAGTATGCCTTCAGTGTGATTTGAAAATTCATAGGGCCTGCTGCAGTCTGTTTGCTCAGTTCCTGGAACAAAAATTGGTTAATCTGATCCTTGTAAAGATGCCAATGCTCTAAGAACAGAGTTGACTTGCCTTCAGTCCATCATTTGTCGTAGCATAACATTTTGTATTTACTCTGATAATTTATCTCCAGAGCTGTGTAATAGCAGATACCTTTGAACATGTACTCTGGCAGGGTATTTGTCTCAGCAATCATTAACCCATGACACCCTGATGTCCCTCTTCCCTTCTTTTCTACATAGGTATTCACTGTCACGCTTTTCATCACTTTTTTTTTTTTAATATATAAATCAGGGGAGATAAAAAATGAAATATGGTACTAGTACATGGATCTTATTTAACAAAAATGACCTTCAAAATAAGCGTCTTTTCATAAGAACATAATAGCAGGCAGCATCTGATTTGCCCTTTGAGGATAAGATGAGCGAAGGTAAAAAGAAAATACAGAAGCCTGTAACTTTGTCGTACTGGAAATGGGATGCTTTAAAATTTTTATCTAGACAGGACTATTTGGTGGTGATGATGGCATGCTGTTCAGCTGCCCACATACTAATAGTTACATAGATCAAGCATTCAGATCTCTGAAATTAGGGCCAGGTAGAGAGGGCTACGGTGCCTGGCAGTCTCAAGATGAACCCCCAAAAATAACACTCAAAACTGTGCTCTGGTTTCTACTGCAGGTGTTAGGTTTGGATGGTAATATTTGCATCATAGTGTCATTTTTGTATTTGCTACACTAGTCTTTACGAGCACTAGAAATGGACTGAAATACTTATTTAAAAACCAAAACTCTCAATAGACTGTTAGCTTTAAGGTGGAAGTGTTTCTACTGGTAAAATACTTAGAAGAGTTAGATTGTTATACATCTTCCTGGCCCTTAAAAAGCCCCATTTTAATATAATGGAGACACTTGAGAGTTCTTGTTAATTATGAGCTTCATCAATTTTGATTAATTTCTTGGCTGAAGAAAAGTAAATCCATCAGAAATCTCTAATCTGTTAAACATTTAGAATTTGTACAGTTGTACTTTGGCATTAAAGAAAATTTGTCAACACAGCCATAAATCCCTATCAAAATGGCAATTCTTCTGAAGCATGCTACTACAGTCAACACATTTTGTTTAAGAGATTTCCTGGTCTTATGTTAGCATAGTTTGTTAAACTTCAATATAAGTATCAGTAGAGAAAAAGGCATGAAAAGCCAAGAACACCAGGAGAAAGTATTGATTCAAGTTACAGAAGTCTTCAGACTGTTCACTGAGATTCTGCTCCATGCTGTTGAGTATTTCACATTGATGTTTTTAAACACTTGCAGACTTCACAATCCCCAGCTGAGAATGCTGTAAACGAGGTGCCCAGCAGTGCTCCGAGATTCAGATTAGATATGTTAAAGAACAAAGCAAAAAGATCTCTGACAGAATCATTTGAAAGTATTTTATCACGTGTAAGTATCTTCATGTTTATTGCCTCTGAACATAATTTCATTGTTTTATTTATTTGAATGATAGAAAAGTCATACTTGTTATCCTTCCAGGTTGTAGCCAAGTAGTTATTCAAGGCACAGTGACAAAAATATTTGAGTGTACATGTTAGAAGAAGACAAAACAAAACAGGGCTTTGGTAGAGAGAATACCAAGTCCTGGAAGAAGTGAACTAATTGCTAGATAAGAAACAGTGTATATAGGCATTTCAAAAAATTAATAGGAAGTTGAGCATGAGAACTTATGAAAAGTGACAATTGTTTTATTTCTCTTTCAGATTTAGAAAATTTAAAAATAATTGTAATTGTTCACTTCTCTTTATGTAGAAGGAAGTGATTAGGGAACTGACTAAGCATTCCTAATGGGATAGTATTTATAAGTGACACAGAACTGATGACTGGGGCATCTGAACTTTTAAATGCTAGAGGTTATTTGAAGGCGAGGAGTGTAAAGAACTTCAGAAGGCACTAAGAATATGAACTCATTTATGCAATATCACATCAGGTAAAATGCTTTGTAAACAGTGTCTGGCAATACCTGTTAGTGGAAAAAACGTGAACTCCTATGTGATAGTGATCCCCAAGAAAATGTTTACCATGAACAGATGGCTGAAAGTATCTGCTGAAAGTACACAGCAGTGGTTAAGAAAGTGGTCAAGTTTAAGCACTACTTAAACTTACGGAGTGTCTTCTCATTCAAATATTCTTGTTTGCACCTCATAGAAAAAGTCTGAGGAAAATAATAGGAGACTTGGGAAGGCTTGTGCTTGACAAAGGATTAAAAAAATCAGACCTTCTCCCTTTTTAAAAAAGAGAGTTGTGACAGAATGCCAAACAACAAATATTAAGAAACAAAAATTCGGCATTCTCATTTCTCATCAGCAAACAGTTAAATTGAAGCAAGATCTAGTACAGTTTATTGGCTCATAGACATGCAACTTGTAGTGACAAAACGAGGCTTTTAAAGCTTCTTTCAGACATTGTATCTAACCTGTTCCCATGAAACAAATTATGGCAAAAGCGTGTTCTCCCTGTTATAATTACGCATATAGGCAAGATTTTTAGTTGAATGTCTCTGCTCATTACTTCCCAGCCAAGCATTTCTAGAGTTCACTCCCAATAAAATCCTGCTGTGGGTGTGTCCTGGATGTGAAACATAATGTTAGTGTTGTTACACTAACTATAGTAGTTACTGTTCTAATTTTTGCTAGTTTGTCCTGACTGGCATGAGCTGTCTTCACATGAGCAGAGCTGTATATTGGTTGCATTTTCACTGTCATGGCTGTTTTGATGGAAATTCTTGATTTTGATCAGATGTGAGGCAAAACATTTTGTCTGAGCTTCAAGGAGAGAATAGCCACTACTGTGAATGATGATGACATTTTGTACCTGGAGTAACAGTTCAAAGAGAACATAAGCCTTAACTTCAAAACATAAAAAAAGATACCATTTGAGGTTAGGAAGATAAAAGTTCCATAGTTGTGTTAGCACGTAAGAACCATCAGTAGGTTTCTTGATATTTCTCTTGGTTACATAAAAACATTAGTCAAATAAATTATACAAAAATATTGTTGAACAGATTATACAAAAATATTTATGCTTTCTGATTTGTGGTCATTGAAATGATAATATTGGAAATTATGTTTTGCTGTTTATTAAATTTATATGGTTTGAGTCCTTTGTAATAGACGGCCTTTTAGTTTCTTTGTATCCTGGTAAGAAGTACCTAGTGTGAAAATTTCCTATTTGGAATACAGAAGGTACTTTAATAGTAGTTGTAGTACATGCGTGTAATATGTGATTATGTACATACCATGGAAACCACATCATTGCCCATGAGAATTCCTTAACTCCACAGGATCCTTTAAAATGTCAGTGACTGTCCTGAATGAAGCCTCTGTTTCTCACGGGGGCAAAGGCTATTCTTAGGCATTTCAGGAAATTAACTTTCATGCTGTCTTTGAAAATTACAGATTCTGACTATGCTAGACAGATCTCTTTTTGCTGTGCCCCATATATCATAATCTTAACTGCTGGTGTGCTTTATCTCTACAGGGCAGTAAAGCCAGAGGTCCACTGGACAGTTCTGGTGCTGTGGATTTGGACAGCTCCATGTCCAGTACCTTAAGCAGCCCAAGTAAAGTAAGTAAAGCCTGGGGTGAATGTACCTATTTAGAAACTTCAGATAATATTCCCTGAAAAACTAGTCAGATGTAAAATGCAGTTACCAACCGCTCATATAACTGTTCTGTTCTAACATCTTGCATTTTGTTTTGATTATTTTGGGGGAGTAGACAAGCTAACTGATTGTGTGTGAAAAGAAATAAAGCCCAGAACAGCCAAACAGTATGATAAAAACAGTATCACAGAGTAGGGAGAGTAGGTATGTCCTTTTCTTCTGACCTGTAAGAGTCCTGTTGCTGCTTGCTGATCCATAGGGTGTGTCTTTATTCCTGTGCCCAGTCCCTCTGAGGGTGATGGAGCTGCATTCATTGCAGGCAGCGTCTTGGATCAGCAACTGCCTTTCATTCCCCCCCCCTTTCCCAGCTTAAAGCAATATTTAAGTTTTTCAGAATTTTCAAGTTGGTTACCCAAACAATTTTCATATATGTAACATGTTAGAATGTGTGTGAGTCCTCTGAGGGACAACTTGAACAAAGTAATTTCCCAGTTTACCCTGATAACAGAGATTCAGGCTAAGAAATAGCAGTCACATGTCAATACAATGGTGACGTGTAAGATGCTACTATCTGTAGAGTTTCACTTGAGATTTCCATACTTTTTGACAAGATGGGACTCATAGTAAATCTGTGGTTCTGTTCTCCAGAAGTTTAAAGTTGTTTTCAGGCCTTTCATTCTGTTCCCCGTGCTATGAAAAAGAGCAGTGCAATGGGGTCTCCATTTGAATTTCAAATGCCTTGTACTGTATATAAGCACATATTTTGTATGTACATGTCTTATTGTGTGAGTCTATATATGTGAAATAAAATATATGACATCATCTGAATCTTGCAACAATGTGCAGCAAAACAAATGCAATAATTACCATGCTGCTGATACTAATCTGGTTGGTTTTAGCCCTGAAAGTACATACTGTGAATGCAGGATTGCATTTGTAAGAAACATAAAACTAAAACAAGAAGTGGAGTAATTTCCCCCTTTGTATGGTTAGAAAGCTTTTAGTTTGAATAAAACAATATAAAGAAACAGCATAGAAGCAGCCAGTTGTCTTCTCTGGAGGCAACCTAGCATTCTGCAGACTTGCATACAGCTATTGATTCTGCTCTAGTGCCTATTTGCCTATGGACTCCTGACTTCAGGTAATCAAGAGTCTGCTCTTTCTGCTTCTGTTTTTGAAAGAATGGCCAACTCTGCAGGAAACACATAAGGTGGGGAATGAAGAAAAATACATGGTTTTGGACTGAAATGGGCATCTAGTCATAGGATTAAAGTCCTTTGAGTGAATCTAAGGATAGACAAGAGGAATATTATATTGTTAGGTGGGGTGCTAAATATACAGTGCTCTGAAATGCCACCCTTTTCATTGCTCTCACTGTTACCCAAACCTGACCCATCTGTTCTGTTCTGACCCCATTTCTTCTGAGTTGTATTCAACATACTGTAAAATATACAATTACTCTCAAAAGTATTTCTTCTCTGTAAAATGGAGACTGTAATTTGTTGACCTAAATGATTAATAACAAAGACATAAAATATCAAAGAGACTTTCTTTGAGCTATCATGATAAAAATGTGCAAATTTGAAGCAGGTCTCTGTGGGATGTGAAAAATGACATGGGACTGCAACCTCAAAGATTGATTCTAAACCTATGTATTGATAACCTTCTTTTTTGCACTGCTAGGAACTGCCATTGTGTGAAAAGGAGAAAGACAGACTTCCTACTCTTCCTACAGAAAACACTGTCAAGACCAGTGGATCAGTGTGTGATCTCTCCAGCAGTGCAGATAATTCTCCTGTTGAGCAGTCTGTTACATTACCTCAGCAAAGCTTTCGGAGGCGAGCAAACACACTGAGTCATTTGCCAACAGAAAGCCAGGAATCACTGGTACCTGTTGAAACATCGCCATCCATTCCTCAGAGGAAACTTATGAGGTACCACTCAGTGAGCACAGAGACTCCTCACAAAAGAAAGTAAGACTTATTAAAAGCAGGCTGTGATTTCGTTTGTTGAGGGCATATTTGGGGATGATAATTGCATACCAGGTATGTCCTCTTAATGGATAAGAAATGTATCGCAGCAGTGTGTCACTCTTTGGAGGTTTGTAGGTATTCTGTTTAAAAACACTGTTATCCCTGTGTGCTCCACAGGGGAGAGAAAAACATGAGATGTGTAGTTCCACAGTATGTCACAAAACTAAGTGTAAGCACAACATAGGATTGCTCCCAAGGGATTTGATTATATTTTTGCAAGCAATATTCATTAATTTTCATTGTTTTGATCTGCAAGCAGTATAAATAAATGCTACTTCTTGTTGTCTGTTTATAGAGAAAAATCCAGTAGCATCTGTGATGCTGAAAACCTTACTAGTTGGTGAATTCATGTGTGACTTTAAAATAACACACAAAACTGACATAAATTGCCTAACTGTTGATAGAGGTGAGGCTCCTGTCTAGCTTTTCAATGAGCCTGTGTAGATTTTACTCTCAAAAACAGGCTACTGCTTGCCTTTATGCTAATACTCTTTAAGCTATCCTCCTTCAAATGCCTGCTTCTACATCTCTAAAGTCTCTTAACTTTATGGCAGTTGTCTTCCTTCCCTCTATCTGGCTTTTTCCAATTACTATGGAACCATTTCTGTCTGTAGGCTTCTGTTTTACTGCCAAAACTGCTCATTTACGCAAGTTAGTAGGAATTCTGTATGTGTTCCAGCTCATTTTTCCCTGCAGGAGGCAGGGCAGTAAAAAAAAAATGCCTGAAATAGGTGATGACAGTGAAAAAAAGAGAATTATAGTATTTGAAAGGAAACATAACCTGGGTTGCCTTTTTGTCCCTTCTTTGAACCTTTTTAATTCTAAAATACTAGAATGCTTTTGTAGTGCAGTTTAGGACATGTGTTGTTGGTCTGTTGTCTTCATGAGAGTTGCCCTGATCCTTGTAGCTGCTTGTTCAGTCAGTTCTTATTTTACTATAGGAATGCAGCTAGAAATTAAGTATATTTTTCACTTCCTTTGTTATTTCTATTTGGGTTTGATCATATAATTTTTAGTAAGACCTGAGTGCCTGCTCCCTCACATAACTCAAAGCAAAAAGTAATCACTGTTGCTTCCCTTTCATAGCAAATGTACAGAACCAGGGGTAATGGAAAATTTAGAAGAAAAGTATACTTAAAAGTTCTTAAAAATCACTGGAATGGTAGACTTGTAACAAGTCTTGTACATTTTATGAGTGTTTTTGAACAGCTTACCTCAATTGTGTCCAAAGTGTAAATAAATTTGGATCTTCATGTAGCATTTCACTTCTCATCCATTAGAACTCTTGATCACATGCCTGACTTTATCATAGAAACCATGGGGAAGCACATATGAGGGAGAAGAAAGGGGTGTGTCAGTGACAGTTTTTTGGGAGTTTAAATTTAGTCATATGCTGAAATGCCTTGCTGAAGCCTGTAAGTCTGTATTTGGGACTTTGCTGATTGGGTTAAAATGTTCAGCCTCTTACAGTTACTGCATTAACTGTGAAAAACCTAGGAAATGGTTGATTTGTATATGCCAGGTTCCTTTCAAAGATTAGAGAAGGGATTTCACTTCCCCCCACCCTTTCCTCTCTTACTGTGTTTTGTTCTTTGTGCCACCTCAACTCCATCGCTCTGGTTGGAATCCCACTGTATGATTTGAATGCATCTGTCGGCGAATCTAAAAGTTCTTCTGGTCAACTTACGCGTTCTCCTACTCTAGCTCGTCTTAATCCCTCGGCCTCTTCGCCCAACTTTTTTAAATATCTAAGGCATAATTCAAGTGGAGAACAAAGTGGGCATTTTGCACAAAAGAGGTGAGCTAGTGCCTGTATGTAGTTTGGGGTAGGGTTTTTTTAGCATGTTAATATGAAGCTCTATAGTGTAAATAATTAAAATAATTTAATATAAACCGATGGTGGTAGATTTTTATGGGAGAGGAACTCTTTAACTGCTCCGTTACTGAGTGTAGAGCTGCTACTTACATAATTTTTTGTTTTAATAAATGAAATTCTTTCAGACACACGGACACATGACTTTCTTTAGAGCCAGTTGCTCCAAAGCAACTTGTTGTTATGCAGCAGACAGCAGCACTGCTTAAATTGTGCGAGGGATAAGTTGCCAAGAACCTGTGATCCAGCTCACTCTGTCCCTCCTCAGTCATTCAGTTCTGTTCTGCTTTGTTCATGGTAACACAGAAACATGTTAATATTCTTTTGTGCCTGACATTAAAGGCAAATTGACTAAGTTAACTAAATGGGGCAAGAAATAGCAGGACTGTGGAGACCTGATACAAAAACCCCACAAACAAGGAAAACCCACAAACAAACAAAAAACCCAACACCCCCCACTCCCCCAAAAACCAAGAACAAACAAACAAAAAACCCCAACCTACAAGCTTGTGTATTTGTCTTGGTTACTTTGAGCAATATCGAGTTATACTTTTCTGTGCCTCCTTTCTTAGAACAAAAATACATATAGAGAACATTGAGAAAAGGACATCAACCCATTGTTTCTCTGAGAACCTGAAACAAGTAGCTCCCTAAAAATCTTAACCGTGAAACCACTTCTTAACCCCTTGAGCTAAAACTGCTTGTTTTAGCTCAAAAGGCTAATGAGACCAAATGTCCTTGGAAGCGCTGTCAACAGTCACTGGCCATTGGCAAGCAATTTTTACTGCTGTTGCTGTTTATTGTTTCATTTTGTTCTCCTGGGTGAAGGTTTCCTGTTTCACCAAGGTGCTGATTCTTCTGATCCTGAGAAAATACTCAACTGAGAACCTTGTTTCACCAGTTCCTTCAGCTGTATTTGCTGAGTACTAACTAGCATCTCTCTTAATTTAGCTTCACCTCAGAAGTATGGTATAGCTCAGAGGAGGAAATGTGAGGCTACAATGTCCTCTTTACTCTTCATTTTAATAAGATTTACTTTAATCCTGAAGGCTAAATTCTCAAAAGTAGATTTTTCCAAGTAGATTCTGCACGTACAGTAGCAACTTCTCCTTCAGTGGTCATTTAAGGGTATACCTTATTGAACCTTTAAGCAATAAGACTGAAAACTGAAATTGATAGGAATATCAAATGGGTTAATGAGTTTAAAACAATAAAGTCAAACTGCCCAAGTTGATTGTATTCTGTAAGTGAAATTACAGTGTAATTGTGATGGATTCACAATGCAATTGTAAGCAAAACCTGTTTGCAGGGCACACCATGCTACAGCCTTATCTTCTTTGTGCTCAGTACCAGCTACTAAATAGCTTCACTTCATACTAGTGATTATCCCAGAGTATCCCCCCCATCCCATTCATGTCTTCAGGAGACAGTGCTAAATGCCATCCAGATATATCATTATGGTTTGTTAGAAGCAGTTATTTCTTAAACTTAGCTTCACATGATTAAATTCTCCTACTCACATGTTTTTGTGTACTCTTCTGAGAAAAAGGTCTTCCAGTATCATCAGCCAAGTAATTTTCTGTGTTTTCATTTCATGCAGAAACTTTCATTATCTGAGTTGTTCTTACTTCCTTCTATTAACCTTCTTCTGAGTATGTTGGGGGCCTGTTATTTTAAAAGAAAGAGCAGAATTACGTTGGCCACAAGACTGTTGATGAAATTTGATTAGTACTCCTGTCTGTTGCATAAATAGAGCCACAATCCTAAATGATCAGTCAGAAGGCTCGGCTTTTAACTTAAAAGTTCCAAGCTTGTCTGAATAAAATCCTGTTAATGCTTTACAAAATGTTTTTTGCCAAAGTCTTATTTTTCATTTGCCAGCACAATGATTATCAGTGTCAGCTTCTCCTAACCTTTTCCCCCAAACTTAGTCAATCATTGCAACTTTGAAACTGATATTTAAGTAAATGTGCAATGATAAAGTTGGCGTCAGTTCCTACTAGATTAAAGGAATTTACTTGAAACGTGCACTAAAAATCTTGGGATATAGATATAAAGAATAATAGCTTTACTTGGAAGTACATTTATTTATATTGGAACATTTTAGTTTGCCCAAACGAATGTGTATTTCAAAGTAGCACTTTGTTAGCAGTTTTAGTTTTGACTTTGGTTTCCTTGATATTCAGGCCTTCGGGATTTAGCTGCTTTTTGTTTGAAACTTAGCAGTATGTGTTATTTTTAATTCTGTGGATTTATACTTCTTTGTTCTAAACTATACTTTTCCCAACTGCACTCTCAGCATCTCCTACCGTACTGCCTTAAGGAGAAGGCTTCATTCTTCCTCTTCTGTGCCAAATTTCTTAAAATTTCTGGCTCCTGTAGATGAAAATAACACCTCTGACTTTAGGAGCACAACAAGGTAGGGTTCTCTCTTAAAGCCTGGAGGTAAAACTGTAATTTCAAAGGTTGCTTTGTCTGAAATATTTTAAATGCTTCTCACACTTGCAAAACCTGATTTGTTCAACAGTTCACTTGCATGTATTCTGCATGTGATTGCTGTCAAAAGGATGGAGCTATCCCAGACTCTTCTCCCATTAAGACTGCAGAACTTAACCATTTTGATGTTGTAATGGTCATGCAACTTCCACCTATGTACTTCTGTGATTATTCCTGCTAAGGGACTGTATTAGCCATTTTCAGTTAAGAGAACATACATGGTTCACCCTAAGCAATGTCAGTGTCCTCACATTGGAAGGAGAGGATGGCCTATAAAATGCTCCTCCCAGTTGCTGCCAGAGCTATTTGAAGTTCATTTATCCCTTTCAACTTCAACAAAGACTCATGCAACCATTTAGCCAATGGTTGGAATAAAGCAATGAATAGTTTAAAGATGTAATGGGTGAGAGTTATTAGTGGGATTTTTAACAGGAAAGTAGCATTGCTGTTCGCTATTTCATTTAATATTCTGAATAAAACTCTCTCTGTAGTTTGTGGATTGCATCAAAGGAGTAACATCCAAGGTTCCTGGACACTGTTCCCGAGTTTATTGCTTATTTCAGATGGTGACTTGCGGACATGAAGGTTAAAAATTTTGCTCCAGGTCTGTGTTGTGAGGGAATAGATTACATACCCAGTTCACAGAAGGCTGGAAGTTTAGTTGGTGTTTATAAAGCTCCTTGATGTGTGCTGATAAAAAGCATCAGCAGTTCTTTGTGTCTCCTATGAATAATCGCTAGATTTTGTGGATGGCATTTAAATAGCAGAGTGGTAAAGATACATTATGGTGTATGTGTCTTTAATGTGTTGTGTTTAATACACTGCTGTAAAGCAAGCTGAAAATTAATTAAAACTGAAGAAAGCAGAATGCACAGAGCTGCCAGCCTGTTTTGATGACCCTGAGTGATGTTTGCAGCTTTGTATAAGCCTGCTGCCACAAAGCAAGCTTCACCCACCTAACACTTAAGAGCTTGACCCAGCATATGCACAGCACACTGCACCCCTTAGCTGATGGTTTGTGTTGTATTCACTGAAGACTGTGTCACTGTTACTAGCAGATTCAGGTAACCTACTCACAAGCCACTCTGTGTTCTGCAATTTTAGCGACTACGAATCCAAACACAGCCAGCAGGCCATTGGTGCGGATAGCCCTGTAAGGACTCGACGGCATTCATGGAGGCAACAGATATTCCTGCGAGTGGCAACCCCTCAGAAAGCATGTGATTCTCCCAGCCGATACGATGGTAAAGTCTGTGTTTATTTGTTCCCATGAACATTGTTAGTGGATGTAGTCTGTGAAGTGTGGATCATTTTCTCTACCAAGTGGACATACTTGCCCAGTGCTCTGTTTGTCCTGTCTTTGCAGTTTCCCACCTACTTTTTGGTCATGCCAAGCTCATCAGCTGTTGAGTTTTTGTTTTTCAGCTTCTTGCCTAACATAGTTCCAATTGTGTCAAATTAACTAACCAGAGAAGAAATTATTTTTATGTGTACTATTTTAATGAGTTCTGGGGAAAAAATGTATCACCAAGTATTGCTCTGAAGAAAAGGTGATGCTTCTGTTTCATCTTTCCATGCTGGAGTATAGGACTATGGGCTAGAAAAATCCAGGCCTAGCAGAAGAAATTAAATTTCTTTTATGACCTCAGGTGAGTTCTGTAGTGTGTACTTCATACCAGACTGAATTTGACCTCATGTATGCTGCTCCAGTCTGTGACATTTGCCACTTGAGCCATAGTTATCCACTGTTCTTGTATTTATTTCCTGAAATTCTGCAGAGCTAAAGAACCACAGACTAGAAAAAAAATCACTGCACATGAGCATGTGGTTGCATCATTTTATGCATCTCACTTTATCTGAGTCAGATAGTAGAGCACATGCTGAGGCGAACAATGCCTCAGAGAAGCTTGTGACTGTAGGTAGTGGTCTCTTGCTCTCTAAAGTTTGAATTTCACAGCTTGAGCTCTGCAAGCTCTACCTTCTAACTGATCTCTAAGGCCATTGTATAAGAAATAAGAAAAAGTATAAGGGAACAGGAGGGAACAGTACATTATAGTAAATGTAGTAAAAAGTAACCATCTTAATGTCACTGAGACATTTTTCTTGCATCTTAAAGAGAGACCTTGATGAACTGGACACAGCACATAACAAAAGTGTTTCTGTTGTTAATGCATTACTTGCAAGGTAATTTGACTGACAATGGGGTAAGCTGTATATGGGCAGAGATGCCTCTCAAATTTAGTGTACTTCAAAACAAAGTAATCTCAAGAGCATGTTGTATAAACATACATGTGAAATGCTCTCCTATACTTCAACGCATATGAAGGAGCTGTTCGACCTCAGCTGTTTTGTGAAGCTACTCTTTTTGCAGGTTTGATGCATCTTTTTGTGACTGGAAATAGTCTTACTTGTTTTTGAAAGCCACAAAACCTTCCCATATTAAATAGGGAAAAAACACCTAAATTGCCTATCCAAGCATTTCCTCTGAGGTGTAATAGCTGCAAGATAAAATCTCAACAACCTACAACTGGATAAGCAGAATAGTTGGAGAAACAAGTGTGGCCAAAATGGAAAACAGGAAGTGCTATTAATAGGAGGACCAATTTAAAATATCTGGCCTTTTTCTTCACTTTTGTTTTCTTTTTCTGTTTTTGTTCCAATGTACATATTCAATTTATGAACAGAGGGAGAAAACTCAAGAGTTAAGGGGTTTTTTTTATTCATAACAAGTATTGGGTTTTTCTGTTTGGATTTTCATGCATCTCCTGGAACATTTCTGGCAGCAAAGGGTAGTCACTCATGATCCAGTCTCTGTAGCCTTTAAGAGGGCTGCTGTACAGATGATATTACATTGGACTCACCACAACAGTTAACTTGGTAACCTCTGTAGTGCCAAAGTAAATATAACTAGCTATCATTCATCTCTTGTTCCTCTTTCTTTCATATTCTCTCAAGGAGAAGCAGCACATGCAGTGGAGTTTATTGATTTTAAAAGTTACCTGTACTTCCTTTTTTTTTTTTTTAAAAAAAAAAGCCTTCCTCACTCTTTTTAGACTGATTTCCTTTGAAAAAGAATTTATGTGAGTAGCTGATGTATCACCAAAAGATCAGTTTCAGCCAAATTGGACAGAGGGCAAAGAAGGTTTTAAAGATAACATGTTTTGTCATGTTCTGCAAAAGTAAGCATGAAGAGAGGGAAACAAGGGAGCATTCATGAGTTTCCCTTTATAGACTGCGACTCCACTGAGCAATTTCTCCATTCAAGTGCAATATCCCACACACCATTCCAAGGTACTCTGCAGGAAAGCAGTAAGGAAAAAGGCTAGGGATTTTTTTACAAGTTAGTAAGTCAACAAACCAAGAGACCCAGATCTCTGTGAGTCAGTGATGAAGAAGTTTTTCAAGCTTAGCATAGGCTGCTTTACTAAACTTTGTATTAAATGTGAAATCCATCAGTATGCCTGAACTACGTGTTGCTTTGACTACGTATGGGCAGGCGCTGTCAACAAAATGAAACTGCTTTGTGGCTGTAACTTCTTTGGGTTGTAATCAGTAAATATGCATGTGTAAGATGTCACAAGAAATGGGGACAACTTTAAGCGTTATACACACAGAAAGATCCGGATTCTGACATTTGTGATTCCATTTGTATAGGCAAGTGGTGAGCTGAATCTCAAGATGCATCATGTTCATTGCCACTCTCTGTGTGATTAAGACAGCAGGATATGAAGGTGTATGTACTAAAAGTTAAAAAAAAAAAAAAAAAGAAAGAAAAAAAGAAAACCCAGGTAACTGGTACATAGCTTTTGCAGAAATTTTGAGCTTAATCTTATGAGGCTCTGAACTTGAGAGATGTCTAGTGTCCTGAGTTACCACGTGAAGCTGACAGCGCTTTGAGTCCCCCTGTCTTGTAGTTCTGGATCCTTTAATTCTTTAGGAGGTGCTCATAAGTAGTTTGAGCTAAAACTTCATTTCCTGTAATTTGGCTGGAGAGACATGATTGCTGGCTGTGCTTTGTTGGTTGCATCGTGTATTACCAGGCAGAGAGCACACTGTTTTGCAGACACTACTATTTAAAAGGAGGGTTTTATTATAAGTGAAAGAGGATGTTCATTTCTTACTAGTTCAGGAGTAAAATGAAAAACAGTCCCAAATCAGTAGAGTTAAAAAATTATATTGCAAATAGATACACTAGAAAGCCATTTTTTTCTTGCCAGTTGAGATTCCTGCCTTGCCTGATGACTGGACTCAATTCAGCCACGCTCAGGCAAGGAGAGCACTCTGAGACAACAGAAAGCCTCGGGTACAGGAAACCATTACTTTCGGTTGTTACAGGAGCAATGTCTCATGTGCAGGCCCTCCTCCAGCCACCTCCTGCTTGTGGGTGCTGCCGCTTTCCCCTTCCCCACTGTTTTCCCCTGCTTCTGTACATAACTTTACCATGAAGCGCATTGGAGAAGCATTACACAATTTGCTGCCTGACAGGACAGCCAGGTGATCTCTGGTGAGCCTGAAGATGAGGTTGATCTCCAGCTTAGAGATCTAGAAAGGATTTTCTGCATATGTGAAATGATCTGTAGGTATTTTTATTGCTTTCCAGCTGGTAGCTGGAGGTTTGCAGGGTTGAAGTATGTTAGTTCTACAGTAGCAAGCTACAGTTCAAATGTCCAACCTCATCTCTTGCTGTTCGCTGGGGAATGGTTGTGCTGCTGCAGGTGGTGTGGAGCACTGGGGGGCAGCATTTCTCTCACCACCACCTTGAGATACACTCAGTGACTTGTCCTCTGATATTTTTCTTTTTTATTTATTTGTGGGGGTGGAATGAGTGTTGTATCCTGCAAAGTGGAGAGATGGAAAAAGAGAAGCACAGGTCACAAAATGGATCACACTTAGATCTGTTACAATACTATATTTCTTTTGAACGAAGGTTTTCATTGATCTCTTTTTCTAAAGCTTTTTTGGCCTGTTTTCTTTATATGAGTACACAAAATTCACTCTGGCTCTCCCACTCACTGTCTTAAACACTCTTAAGTAGTAACAGTGTTTCTTCAGTTCTTTGATTTTTACCTTTATACCTGCCCACCCTACTTGCAGCCAGATCTTCATACTTATAGTAGAGTCTCTCTAACAAGAGCCATATTCTGTGGCTATGCAAATCATTTAGGACTTCTAGTTCTCTGGCTTGGCTGGTAAAAAGGTGAAGGGAACAACTTGGTGATCATTTTAAACTAGCTGAAGTATGGGCTCACTCAAAAAAGGTGATTAGTTTTCAGTTGGATCAGTTTTCTAGTCCCACTCACAGTATTAGACAAGCACTAGAGCAGGCACAGGGAGGCAGACAGGGACACGTGTCTGGAAGCTGAGGGTGGGTGGGTGCTCTTACCCTGTTGAGGAGCAGGACACACTTAGATCAGTGCAGAGTGATCATGAAACTTCAGCTTGCACTGCACTGCAGCAGGATATTTGCATACATTTATTCAGCATCTACAAATCTCTGTGGAGTGGACTATTTTCACTACAATTTTCACATATTGACTGTTCAGAATTGGTCATAGTGGGAGAACTGTTTTGCAGATTGTCAGAAACTCCCAACAGAGTAAACTCAAGTGCTAGATTTAGAGGGAGCGTGAATAGTTTTCTGAAGTAAATGGTGGGAAAGTGATAGTGCTTGTGATGAGTTTTCTTGCTGTGGGAAGTGTGTTGGCAGTAGACAGCAAGATTTTTGTAACAGCTGTGTCAGTTTTAGGTTGGAGAATGGGTGATTTGCTTTAGGTGGGCAGTGGTGTGGAGTTACATGTTGAACAGTGAAAGAAATGGCAATTTGGAGGAATGGGGTGCTTGGTATTGCTTAGCAGTACTCAGAAAATAGATTCAGATGAAGAAAAGGAACTTTAGCCAGAACAACTACATAGTATTTTACAACCTGACTTGCAGAAAAAAAGTCTTTTAGAAAGTACAAGTATCTCTGTTCAGGAAAAAAAAATTGACTCATTCATTAAAATGAATTGGGTTTTAGTCTCTGACAGACAGAGGTAGCAAACTGTTAAATCCAAAGTGCTGAAGAAAAGTTTGGATTTGAAGAACTGTTATTCTTAAAACCAGTTGTAGTTAGCACCTAACTATCTGTTTATGTGCTTTGTGGTGAGGGTTATATCTCTTCCATTATTTAAGCTAAAATATTTTTTAAATCATTTTGTGGTAGTATTGCAAATACTGTAAACTATTGCTTTAGCATTCTGTACTT